ACTTAACATCCACAGACCGTATTTATATATATATACATATTATACATATCGCGTGAGTTGCACAGCCTGTCGTGCGTATGGGGTCACATAAAGTTATTTTGCTTCAGGTGTATGAAGGATTTATGTGCTCGCGATTGTATCGGTGGCGTTGGGGTCGATCGGACAAACTCGTGTGTATATATATATATATATATATATGTTAACCGTCGGGCTGGTGTTGGGGGTGGGGTGAGGAGAGGTATAGCAGAATAGTGCTTTATTAGTTTTACCCTACGTGTTCTCTTTCTCTCTGCGGGCCCACTTGAGTTTTCGATCCGATTCGATCCGATCGTGGATTCACCGCGACCGTACGAAATGGTTATACGATAGAGCACATATTATATTAATACTATACAGCGTATATATAGCGTGAAATGTGGACACGATGTCTGCGTGGCATGAGATGGGGGGGACTGATAAACTTTCCGGTCCGAAGTTTGTCTGGACAGCGTAGCCGATGGCTTCCCCTGGATGATAGTGCGCATATCTCTTACAGACCGGGCGATGGCATCGTAGGCGGTGGTTAGTGGCTTATATAATATTTTATCTGTATGCTATAGGTTACGAACACGGCGACGAGTAAGACTCGCGTCCAGACTAAAACTGCGTCTAGGTTATCGAATGTCTTTAAGACTATCTGGGGAAAAAAAAGGATAAATTCTAAGCATTTATCGCATCCGTACACTACTGCCGTATCGAGTTTTACTGTTCAATACATACCTATAAGGTATGATAAGACACAATATCATGTTTACGTTGTATATGACCGAAATACTTTAAAATATCGTGATAAGCGCTTGGCGTTTCTTAGGCCAGATAGACCGCTACACTAAATTTTCTAATGAGACGGCAGGTTACTACGGCTCTGTAATAATAATATGATGTTAGTGACGCACCACGTATTATGATAATAAAAACTACAAATATGTACATAGTCATACTGTTTTAATATCTCATAAACAGTTGAATTCCGTTTTAGTAGCTGTGAGTGTTGAGCGCAATAAAGCATGCGTACAATATATTATTATTATGTTCGGCATTTGGTTTTTTTTTTTTGTTTAATTTAATCACAATTTTGTCATGACATAAATATTATTTAAAAAATAATATGATGTAAAATATCAAAAAGAAAAAAAAAAAATTAAACCAAATACCATACAAAGCAATTTGTTATGTTTAAAATTCATTTGACATAACACGCGAGTATACATAGCAAAACTGGCTTTTTTTTTTAATAAAAATATTTTATTTTTACAAAAACGCGCCGTTTTAAATAGTAATAATAAAAGGTAGCTGCAGGTAGATTGTTTGTCAAAGCCATAAAAAAAAAAAAAACTTGTTTGGTAAAAAAAAGAGGAATTCGTTTGAAGTACTACTAGATTAGTTGGTCGAATAACGATACAAGCTCGCCAATTCACGTACTACCCCTGTAAAAATAGCTTTTCATTCTCTCCGCCGTTTTCGCTTGCCTTTTCATTACATTTCTTTCTATAAAGCTGAATTAAACTTTTAATTTTCGTTCTTAATCCGAAACGCAAAGGGCCGACAGTGCCGGTTTTTACCTCTGGATGAATATTATTCGTTTATTCTTCTTTTTATTTTTTATTGTTATTGCGACGAAGAACCTGAGGGAAACGGATGTTTCTCTCTTTCATATTCTTTATCTAACTCTCTCACTCTCACTTTTTTCCATCATCCTTATATACCTTATTCTTCACCCTAAAATTTAGATACTGGCAACCCACCCTCACGTTACAACCATACGCAGGTAATGAAACTCATTTTTTTTAACACTCACCGAGATAGCCGTTTCTGAAATAGCCACTTTGATGAGAGGAAAAGAAAAATTATAATTTAAATAAAATAATACAGGAAACATAAAAAGACAGAGGGTGGTCGACATTATTTCGTTACCATAAGAAATAAGAAAATAAATAGAAATCTTGCTTTGAATAATATTATTTTTAAAACATTTCATGCTGTGACTTGCAAACTGCCCCAAAGAAGAAACCAGTATAAAACTATCGATTTGTCTATATACGAATTCATCTGTGTATTTAGGTAAGTGACATTTTTCATAACAGCTATGGAACTTTTTAAAAAAAAAAAAATAAAACGAAAAAATCCTTTCCGTATTTTAAAACTCTCGTGGCGTGCAATCCATTAATAATAATGCGGTCAATGAGGGAAAAACGGTAATTTATGAGAACGAAATATATCCAAAATCATTTATTGTATATGCGTATACATCACGTATAATATATTACATATACATCGTCCTACTACAGTCTTTTTCGCTAACCCTATCACTGGAAACCTGTACCTTTCATACAGGGGAATTGGTCCGGACACACTCCCAACACGGTATTCCAATTTTGTTTTCCAACAGTAATTAACGCATTAATTTTTAGCCTCTGCGGTCGATGTCGTCGTTGTTATCGTTGTTTTTTATTTTTTTTTCCCCAAGCTCACTCACACCTTTCCTTGTGTCTATAACATTATTTATTTTTTTATCCCTGCACACCCCTTTGCTTCCAATCCTTTTTCTTTCTCGTGGCGCCCGTTTGTCCGTCGAAAAATATAAATAACTTTGGGGACGCGAGGGATGATAGTTAAAACACGGGGCGCCAAGTCACAACCCCTAATTTCACGATTTTTTTATGATTATTTTTTAATATAATAATTTGGCAAGACGGGTCGACGGACGTTGTTTTTCATTAAAAAAAAAAATCGCAACACAATAATGAAAAATGTAAAAGGATGCCTGAGCGTAATGAATACTTCACGGTCTGAGAATAATATGAATGGTGTATGTGTGCATTGTAAAAAAAAAAAACTCGGCATAATGACATTTTTTTTTTTTGTCCTGTTGACCTCTACATTGACACAACACCTCCATTAATACCGGACGCGTCACTAACGGTATACATATTATTTACAATACAATTCTGAACACAACCCTTGAGTATATTATATTATATCAATGTTAATCCAATTTCACTTCAAAATTTAAAATTGAATATAATATTACATTACATTACATTAATATGTATTTGTGTTTAAAATTTATACGAGAAAATATATCATATATTATTATCTAAAAACTATTATCTCTTTTACGTTTGTACAAATTAGTAATTACCATCATGGAATTATTATTATTATTATTATTATTATACTACGCGTTTATATGTGTTTTACTTATGTACTCAAGTAATTGAATTGTAAATGAGAAGAGGGTTATGAATTAGAATTTCCGTTGGCGTGTCTAAGTTTATGATCTAAGTTCTATTACACAGCTCTTGAACAGTGCGTACAAGTTTCACGCTATAGAATTTATATAATATATAATGAGATTCCTATATTCATTATAATTTACATGTCGAGTGAGTAAAATGCTAAGTATATTATTACATTTTAATCCGCATAAATATAATAACCATCAAAATATAGTACCTATTATAGTTATGCAGATATTTTAAGATAAAATCATCATAATATAAATGTATTTGATTAGCGTTGATAATAATTGGATCTTCAATATACGCGTTGTACAGTCGATAACGGCTGAAGGGAGAAATAAAATAGGGTTTTGTTCATTTTTCCATACATATAAAATGATTTAAAACAAAAATAAGGTTCCGTGGCATTTGTACATATACTTGTATCATACATTCTATTTAGTATATTATTAACTTAGTGTGTTATAGTGTTCGAAGTCGTATAACAATACTTCAAGGAGTGTATTAAAAACTTTACTATAGAGTACGCATATAGTGATGCGGTCAGTTTTCCAATTTATTGCCGATGTAAAAATAAAAGATACTCGATATAAATACAGACGTAACGGATTTATAGGGTTTTTGATGTATTTCCCAGCTTTCTGACGTTATCAGCTCCATAATTGTACGTTCTCCGTTTATTTATATTTTTTTTTATACCGAGTAAAAAAAAAAAAATAAATAAATAATAACAATAGATAGAAAGGGGGAAAGTCCACTCGAGATGAGATGATTATTGTGGTTACAGCTGTGGAAATGCGTTTTGCGGTCAGATTTACGGACAAGGCAGCAGAACGCAATAATAATAATGTAATACAAGATTCTTCCCTCCAGACGAAATAATTCCAACGGTCCAGAAGGCCATAAATTTGTTTAGGGCCGACCGGGCTGTCCCTCGTGTTTTCCTTATCATCTCGACAGCATTAGAGTTTATATTCTCTCACCCCCTCCGGAGAGGTTATTTTTTTATTTTAGCTACGAAAACAGAACGGTGGCCAAATAATTATTAAAAAACATTTACGCACATGCTTTTCAATTATCTAAATACTCGATACAAGTTTATACAATGTCAGTGACAATTCACACCCTCACCTTTAATTGGATATATTTATATTATATTAATATTAGTTAAATTATTCTTACATATACAGCTATAACCTATGAAGATAATACAATTATTTGGAGAAAAAATAAACAAAAAACTAAAAGTAAAAAATTACAGACAAGAACAAATAAAAAAGATTGTCATGGATGTTGTTTTTTTTTTTACTTGCGGTAATAAAGCTTGGGACTGAGTCTAAAAGTGCCGTAAAGTTTATTAATGTCCCCCACCGGTTGTCTCGTTTTTTTTTTTTTAAGTTCCCTTTATCCCGGTGTCTTATGTGTCTCCAAGGAGCCCCAAGGCCCGTCATTTACCACCCACCCTATTGCACTGGGCAACACGTGTGCTTAATCGGCTTCCGTGTAGAATTATGATTAAAAAAAATCGATGTTAACCTCCAGGACCGGGTCTATAAGGCGAAAAAATGAAATAAAAATACAAGCGAAAAAGTACTAGAGGTTTAAAAGAGACCGTAAATCTCGCGACGAATTTTTCCAATAATTTTCCCCTTGAAAGTACAAAACAAAAACGCGTTTAAAAAAAAAAATAAAAATACAATATAAAAATACTACACTTACATTTGTCCATCGACCTGATGGGCCGCATACCCCACGCCATTAGTTGAGAGTTTTTCTTCCTGAAAAAAAAAAAATGAAAAAAACTGTAAATATTTTTACCAAAATGGTTAATGACTTTTAAGTTTTAAATTTGTAACCAAGATCTGGTTGAACGTTCGGGGTGATTGATGATATTTTAGTAAACTAAATTATATGTATAGAAAGGGGCCATTCCGTCCGTCAAACTCTGGATGGTTTAACTCTTCCGTCTGAATGTGAATGACAGAAAACAATTTCCAACCACGATATCGTGATCGTATATATTATTAGTTTTTGTTAAATCTAAAAAGTTTGAACTAACTAAGCGAATTCTATGAATGTCTTTTTTATACATGATTAGCGATTACTAATCGTTATGTTAGGTTTATTATTTTAAATACTCGTAGATTTAAACAATTTAGAACGTCTATTAATTAATACGTCATAATATTAACAAAAATTGTAGCATTTTTGTTTCTTTTTATGAGTTAAGTCGTGTTTTTTTTAAACGTCTGTCGTGTTCCGTAATGCACCAACTAAATTTTTTCTATTACGGCAAATGAAATTTTTGATTGTTTATTTAAGCTTGTAAAAGTTCAAAACTTGTTAATGTCCACAAGTTTTGGAATTTCAGATGAAAAAAATACGTGTATCCTGTGTAGAAAAAAAAATTAGAAGTAGGGTGAAAAAATACATTTGACAATTCGTGCTTTTATGTGGTTAGACAAAACAAGCATATTGTTTACCACGCGACAAGCATTTAAAAAAAAATATTATAAAAAATAAAGGGATTGTTTTCGTGGTAATTTCTCTTGTATACAGATGGTGATTTTTTTTTTTAAAATTAAAGTGAGATAAAAAAAAACTGCGGAACGTCAGTCAGCCGGAATCTACGGGGTGAACAACAAAAAGGAGACAAAGCTTGTACGATTCAAAATCCGGACGTGACTAATTTTTCACATTTTTTTTTTTTTTTAATTTGAGTTAAAAATGATGTGCAGTTGTGTTGGCGACTGACGGATGTCGTGTTTTTCCCTTGTACCGGATACGACGCAGTAAAACTTAAAACTTTACAATCTCGGATACCATACGGGAACTTCCTACACACACACACACACACACACATAATATATACATATATAGGTATGAACAATATTATCTATATATATATATTTTTTTTTGTTAAAAACCGTCAATATTTTTTTTCTACGACGGATGATACGAAAAACAGTGGGAAAATACATTTTACGAAATAAAGCGTACATATACAACGTTTTATCTAAATCTACGACAGCGGCGATTGTATACACTATGGCACGGTCTAAAGTTTTTTCGTTTTCGTTGTCGAGATACGTGGCGACAACGACGACCGGGAATCAGACGGGTATTTGCAGTGAAATAGCAAGAAATAATAATACGTACGTAAGAGGGTGCCCGGTTGTATATTTCACCATCTGTAATAGAGCGGTGCGGTAAACGAGAAGATACTACGCTCAGCACATACACACCCACACATTAATATACACGTGTGTGTGTGTGCGTATGTGTGTATACACACGGGATCCTATATAACGGGATGTTAACGTGATTATGTGGGCGTATTCGGTGGAGGCGGATGTGGAGGTAGAAAAACAAATAATCTGTGGCCCGGTCTAACGATCCCGGCGGGACCTGAAGTCCGAGACTATATTATACACGGCCATTGTCCGCTGGTAAACAGCACTTTAAAACGTGTCGGTACAGAGAGTGAGTGTAGGATTCGGCCCTAGACTTCTTTCTGTAGTGCAGTACATAAGAACCCCGAGCGTAGCGAACCGTCGCCGTATTAACCGATCTTTACGACTATGTGGTCAGCAAGGACGGTACGTGGGTCTTTAAACTCCATCAGGACGTTTCGGACTTTTCTGATGATTTTTATACGCGTTGCCATAAAACCAGACGTATAATAATCATAATAGTAATAATGACGTTAATAATGATTTGGAAACAAGGAAATTGTCTTTGGCAAAGTTAGCGTGTGTTTCCGATAGTTCTAATATTATTATTATTATTATTATTACTATAGAGAAATTACGTATATCAAAATGCCTTGCGGAGTAAACGTCATCACTGAAATATATGTTATTATCATGTTTTGACATAATATAGTAAGTTGCTGTGTGTACGAAGAATTATATTATAATAGCTAGTGCAATCATCCTTAACGCCGATATAATAGCATTCGGACGATTTTGTATTATGTGACGTTACTAATCGCCATAATATGTTACATACATATTAACAAACTTCACCGTATAAAAATATATTGAATGTAAAAAATGTAAAAACGCAATTTATATTTTTGTAATATTTTGATAGAAAAGAGGGGGGAAGAGTACGGGAATCTTATCCTCCGCTTATACGTGTTAATTGATGTTTCTAGCTCCCCTCTCCACTAGATATTTAATCGTATTTACACCTATGTAAAACGACAGTAGCCTGTAAGTTTAACGCCCGGTGTTTTTGTGTACACAGTGTTAGAAAAAGCAGTGTTTATACTCTGGTTGGTGTACTATACATACAGTCACGAGGTACCTACATAATATTATGTTATTTATACGAGTAAAATCGACATTTATACAAGATTTTTGTTTCTGCTCGTTTCGAAATTCGACATCTGGTAACTAGGGACATAACAAATTCACTGAGTGATGGTGTCGTGGTTAGGAGGAAGGTAGTAGTGGTGTGTTTTTGGAAATTGATGGATGGTCGGCTGGCATGAAGAATCGACGGTTTTCCACGTGACCCAACTGCACAGTGTCCGCCACCACTGCCGCAGTCCACCGTCACCGATACATCATTTTCCTCATCCGACACCACCGCGCCGCCTAAGTGAATTCCGCTTTTCAAAACTTCTCCCTCGCCCCCGACGGGACGATCTAATGGGACCGATACGTCTTTACATGGCGTCCCGTCTTTAATGACCAACTGTTTTCCGGCCTGCGCCGTGGTTACACCGTTAACCGACCGTGTAAACCACCGCGCCACCGCTTCCTCCGCGGCCAGCGTGTCATTTCTCATCCATCTCGTGACTTCCTATATAATATACTCGAATAGCCAAGAAAATGTAGGTTTCAAAGTATACATATTATTTAATATTTACCGTTGATCGCCAAGATAAAAATAAACGTTTTCTTTGGAAAGAGGATTAATTAAATATCTTACGGTTGGTAACTATATCTATGTATTACGTATACATAATGTCTTTGACATTTTATAGTTTATAAATTTAAACTGAACAGAAAAAAAACCCTAAATATACCTAAATGTATATTACATGTCATATATATTATTTTAATTATGTATTTTTATTGTAATATTAAACAAATTGTTAAACAAAAGATAGTATAATGTTATTTAATATATTATTTTATATACAACGAGTAGGTATAACTATAGTCATGTATCTGAGTGGATCTGACTTGCGGTTATAAAAATGATAAATAAGTTCGTAGTAACTGTGTAAGATAAAAATAATTGAAATTGCAAATTTTATTGGTTGAAACAAATGTTTATTACGTTTTATGTTAATTTAATTTGTAATAACCATTTTAATTTTATCCATGGTAGTACTTTTACTATTTTAGACTATAATATTATTGATTTAGATATTTAGAAATTGAATATTCAATATTGCAGCCTTTTCAAAGTACTATTTATATAATATTTTGGTATACGTTTGTACTTATATTTTAGTTTTGAATGCTTGATATCATTCTTATATATGTTTATATAAGTTTGAAACTCATTATGTTAAGCCAACGATATAAATCATTTAATCAAACAATGATTATATCTATATGTTTATAGTCCCTATAACGACTATTGTATACTTATATTGCTTGAAAACCGTTTTTTATAATATGCAGCAATTCGAAGTTTTCGGATTTGTGTTTTTGACAATTTCAGTTATTCGTCTCAGGAAATTGGAAAAACGCAAATACGTATGCCGCTATCGAATTACCACGTAATCTCATGTGAATTGATTACGTTGCTACGAAAATATTTATACGTGCTTATATATATTAGGGCGTCGTAGAGGTAAAGACTACAACGACGATGAAGAAAAAAAAGAACTGTCTAAGGGGAACACATCAGATTCGCACGCACCTGACACCCTTATGCAAATCTAGAAGTTCCGTCATGTATGCCGCGACAATAATTTAATCCTTTTTAAGAGATTTTCTTTGCCAGATGACTGGTTCCATTACACAGGACCCTAAGGATTGAATACAAATTATATATACTACTATACACGGTAGTCATCATTACGCTGTTGTTATTATTATTATACGTACGCGCTTCTTTTGGTTATTTGTGAGATACGATTTTACGCTCCGGCCGTTTCCACACATATCTGGCTCGAAAATATGGAGGCCAATTTGAATAAAATTAATCACCGCGTGCCCTTTTTTCACACGGAAATATGCTTTTGACGAACATTCGAGTTTCTTTAAAATATTTTCATATATTTTACGGAACAGTAATACCTGTCGAAGGGTGAAAGTTTCGAACTTTATAAAAGGATTTAATATGATAATTTAAGTCTCCGTATTATCGTCTTGCAGATTAATCAATATATATTTTTTTTTTAATTCAAAAATATATCGTATAAACTATGTATCGTTATAATTTTACAAAATTATTCTTATACTGTATATAGTTTAAAAGAGTTGACATAAAATTTAAATTATTTTATATTTTTTTACTAGAAAAGTTAGTAGAATATATAATTACAAAGATATCTAAAGTTATCAAGTTAAATTAATTTCTAATATTACACTGACTTTGTTAAGACGTGATGTAATATATTATTAGAATATTCATCGGAGTAAAGGGAAAAAAATGCAAACGACACGAAATATGATTGTAATTTATTATATAAGTGTATGTTATGACTTTGAAATGTCGAAACCACGATTTGTTATACGAGAGAAATATTATACGTATAGTTTTTAAGAGTACGCGTTGTGTATACGATACAATATTATAAAACTTCATT